GAAACTGAAGCGATTGGGAGAAACAGAGACGCCACGTACACTGCAGACACCAGCCGGGGCTAAAGCCCCCAGTGCACGGCGACACCTGATAATGGCAGTGCCACGCTGAGGCTGAGGCGTGTCTTTGGGCAGAAAGACGACACTACTGTGCATGAGGCTCCGCTTTCACCACGGCTTACAGACACGCAGATGAAAGAGGGCAGGTAAGAAGGGGGAAATTGGCTGCCATTCAGAGTTACTTCAGACTCTTTATTTAATAGCTTAACCTTGAATGGCTGCCCCAGCCTCTCCTTCTCCTCTTTGTCTCGGGTGAAAGTGGAGGCGTGGGATTTTAAATTACAAAATAAAAATGCACAAAACAGTTTATACCATCCCTGCCCCATGGTCTCAACGTTACTTATACTGCGCACCTGAAAAGCTGCCAGCGGAATCCTTTACAAGGTATTCAGAATGCTCAGACCAGCTCCTTCACAGCCCTGAATAACACATACAGTATTCTCTTTTCTAAACGGATAGCCCCCTTACATTGGGGTGGGGGTGCGGGGGGGGGTTTGCCTTTGATATTATCCCTCTCCAAACTCCAGTAATACTTCAAGGCCGAGAAGCAGCTCATCAGAGTCCGTGTCTCTGTTGTCAGACTCCTGCGCAGACCGAGTTCACCTCACGTGGAAGAACAAAGACACACAGAGTGCTGACCTGCTAGCATTCTCCCAGCATCCTTTGTGTCTCTGTCAGTCACTCCCTAAATGCGCTGTATGCCTCAGACCTTCAAAGTCCTAATGTAAAAATCCCCTCATTAGACTTTCAAATCAGACATGTTACATAGGAGGCACAGATCAGCCTGCCGCCTCCGTTCCGGAAATTTCCTTTTATCCGGCATCTTTGTTCATAAGGAGGGAAACGGGTGCCGCAGCAACACGCTGACGGTAGTGAGAATCTCCAAATCGACAGCAGTGTCAATAAGGCCCAGTTACCCCCATCCCCTGAAGACCCTCCACCCTGTGTGATGAAGAGCGTAGCCGTCTGACAGGCGCGAGGCGCCATATGGACAATCAGCCGGAGCACAAAGGCAGGCCCCCGGTGGCAGGGGGTGGAAGTGAGGGCGATTTCCAATTCAGAGAGGAAACACAGGGATTACCCAGGAGTTCCTGCCTTTTTGAATAGGGGGGTGGGTTACTTGGCTGCAGAAAGCTCAGGCTAAATTTCCTCCTTCCATAATAATCACGATAATTACGATGATAAAGCCGACTCTATTCTGTTCACGACACACTCCAGACGGAATAGAATCACCCCCCTCTTGTCGTACCCCTAATCCCTCTTTACTCCCCCACCACCTGTGATTAATTTCCCCCACTTGACTAACTTGGCCGCTTCTATAAGTGCCGTTTCCCCGGATGGTGGGAAGCAGAGCAGCGGGATCCGCGAATGAGAGGTGGAGAGCCAGAGCGCCGAGCTCGGGGCCCGAAAAGCCGCCCGAGCCCGGGGCCCGAAAAGCCGCCCGAACCCGGGGCCCGAAAAGCCGCCCGAGTCCGGGGCCCGAAAAGCCGCATCACTCCCTGGGAGACACTCGAACCCGGGGCCCGGGACTGCTTGCTGCACAAAGAGCAGGTGTTCAGGTTCAGGGAGCCCTGGCACAGGGGGGCAGAGCGCCTGGGACACCCCCACGGTCTCGCCAGGATAATGGAAGCAGTGGTGCTGCTCCTGCATGACAAGGCCCTGCGCCAGCAGCTCAGGATCACAGATCGTGTCTAAATATTCATGACGTCCACTTCTGGCCACCCAGATAAACCCCGGGGGGGGCAGGAGGCGACGTTATAAAGCCACGTCTGCATCGCTACACCCCTTTCGTTGCCTGGTCGAATTTCATGGACACACTGTGCTCACACACAGGCTTCGACATCCACCCCACATTTCCTAGAATTTTATTTCTGTATGAAAAGGGGAAAACAAAACAAAAGCCAGAAGCTTTGTGATGCTGGGTGATTAATGTGGATGGAGAGAGAGGAGCTGGGCGCGGTGAGTCTGGGGAATCTCGCCTTGCTGTACGCGTACTACAGCGCCGGGGTAAGACGTGTGTCCGAGTGAGGTTTACCTGTATCACCGACGTCACCAGAGGGACACTGGTAAAAGCAGCACTGACACAGCCTAACAGGGGGAACAATCTGCACATACCTGAACCACTAGCTGCATGTAAATAGTACATTTGAATGATGCCAAAGGAAGAACACAGGAAAAGTTAAAGACCCCAGATTGGGCTTCACCTATTCCGTACACAAGCCTTACTATTCATTGCTGAATGACTTCTTTATCACCACATCCAGTATATCAGGAGGTCTTTGCTGATTCTTCTGCTGACCCCAATAATCATATACAGTCTTGCGTTGACTTGCTTTCCCATTTGGCGCCAGAACCACATACCCCCCTTATCTCGCTATTGTAACTCTCCATCAAATTCATTATTGCATGCATTCTGCATCACGAGTTGTATTTGTACAGTGGGTCATAATGGACATGGGCTGGCAGAGCTGCCCATTCTCCTGCACCTGTTACACTAAGCGAAACACCCACTACGTCTGCTTTCAGCTGTCTCCCGATCAAGTTTTATTATTTACTATGAACCTCGGACTTAAATGCGATCGGAAGTGACTCGATCAGGCATAACTCCACGTAAGACTATATATCAGTTTCAAATATTTCAAGGGAATCAATGGCATAATACGAAATCTGTTCTTTTTCATAGTGTTATTCCCCAATATTAGTCATATGAAATATGATCAAGGTACTTGATAATCGAATTGGTATATAACCAATTCGATATTAAATATAAATGAATTGTTTCTCACGGGAAATAAAACAGAATAAAATTTCCCTGTAGCTAACTTTTCACTCAAAGGTAAACATTTACACAGGGTGTCCATTGTTCATTATTTTCTTATATGCAGTCACTGCCAGCGAGAGGGTTTGAGATCTAAGGTTGAGTCAGACCAGCACCCCACAGCCAACTCCCTTTACACTGGCATCTGGCAGACTAATGCTGACGTCCTGCCCTGGCGCAGCGCATGTGGGCCGCTTCAGGACGCCGACGGGGTCTGCAGCCTCTTTGTTCCATCCGTAACCGGATGAAGCAGCACCACACATTAGCAGTGTCTGGGCCGGTCAATGCCCCTCGCGCGCCTGGGCACGGGGGATTAGATGACTGGATTAAAGATGAATTTCGGGAGGTGTCCTTTAAATTCTAATGATGCAGCAGATGGACAGGCTCGCCAAATGCCCCCTCTTTCACCCCGGTAAAATACGGTCTAATTGGTATGCTTTGCCAGCAATGCACTTCCCGAAATACCAAGCTGGATCTTCAAAGGTGCGAAGGTCTGAAGGGTCCTCACAGGCTGCCAAATCGCCCCTTCGGCCCGAGTGCTCCACACGCATTAGCCGAACATCTCACCGACTCAGCCCAGCCCTTCTCTGCTGGCTTTTATTACCTGAAGTGGTGATCACAGCAACGCCGGTCACCTTGGCGCTCTCACAACTTTGTGATGTTATTCAAACAAATCCGCAGCACCCTGCAGCCCCACCTAAATGAATGAACGCAGTCACCCTGCAGCCCTCCTCTCCAGCTCCTTGAACCCTTTCTGCTCTTTCATTAAGTTCTCTCATGCAGCTCGTGTAGCTCTTCATTGGCTCCTTCTCCTTTTTGAGGCCGGATGCAGCTGAGAATTGTGCTTCGTCATTGCAGAGGAAAGTGGGGAGGTGGTATATTCTCCCCCCCCCCCCCCACCAAGGGAGCAGGTTACGTTAAACTAGGCATACACGTGGAGCTGTTTGCAGTCAGACCCTCTCCCCTGTTTGTTCATCAAACCAGGGCCCCCACCCCCCTACACCAACAGGCCCCCCTAACCTTTTCCTGCTCCACACCTCTCTGCTGCACCTCCAAACAGCGTGACCAGCTAATAAAAAAGCTCCCCGCAGGCAGCAGAAGGCTTTACTCTCCCACAGCTCTCGCCTTACGCTGCCGCACCCCGCAGGTGACGCGCTCCAAAGCAGTGGCCCCTCAGCCCGGCTCATATCCACAACAACGCGGCCATTGTCCCCGGGGTAAGCAGTGCCGGACTTCACTGCAGTATGGAAAGGAGGAGGAAGAGCAGCCGCGAGCTCCCAGCAGGGCGCCAACACGAGCACAGCATCGCCTCCATAACTCCATAACATCCCTACATACTGACCCGCTCATATCAACTGTCAATAATCTCACTTCCTCTGGTGCAGGTCACAGCCATTAATAATGTACCTTTTAAAACATCAACAGGATTTATAAGTAAACACCCATCCAGAGTGATGCACAGGGCTTCATTTTCCAATGCTGCCCGTTTATGGGAGTGAGTATTTTTACCAAAGTGAAGTCTTTCTCATGGAAAAGACATCACAGTTTCTCCAGGACCTCGAGACTATGAGTCTTTTCATCATCTATGTATGGTACATAATCAAGAAAACAAAAGCAAAGCCTGCATCTGCATAGATCTTAGCAAACTTTAACAAAGACACGATTAATTCTTCCCCTTTTAATAAGTGATATAAAAAGAGTTGGCTTAGGGCTCCCAGTATGTCACATATATTCCGTGCCAGCTATCTCGTTAAGGCTTTCACTCAAATTAAACAAAACACCAAGGACCCCGGGTAAAACCTTCATCAATGATAAAATAGACTTACAAGACATGTCTGTATATTTCTGAAATATGTACATGAACATTGGCATTTATAAATCATTATGACTGAACAATGAGCATTCTGATGAAGACACAGTGTACTTGCAGCTGTTTACTGGCAACAGTGAACGTTCTTCCTACTGAATGTCTGCAATCTTTTTCTGGCACACACTATAATTTCTTCTAGAAGCTACAATGCAGAGTGACCCCCCTGTCGTGTATTGAATCGAAGGAAAATGCTTTGAATGTAGCGTGAGGACCAGGCGGGCCCGCAGCTGGAGAGGGAGAGAGCGGCGGCCCTACCTGTGTAGCCCAGCGAGTTGTCGTCATCATGCTCAGAGGTGGGGGCGGCTGTGACACTTGCACCGGCCCCGTCCTGCCTGACCGCGTCTGTTGGAGACAGCAGCACAGCCCCTGAGACCTGGGCCTCCACAAACACGGTGGTCCCTCTGAAGCCCGCAGAGATGCAGCACAGAAAGAGGGCCAGCAGGGTGCGGCCCGGGCGTGAGCCTTCCACCCCGAGGCCCTGCTGCAGCTGAGGTCCAGGAGGCCGCGCCATCCCACCCGAGATTACGCCACGGAGCACGGAAAGCAGCCTGCGGAGGGGAAGGAGGCAGTCGATCCCCAATCAGCCGGGGTCCTCTAGGCTGCGGGTAGCTGACAGGTGGAAGTCGGGAGCTCAGACAGACGGATGCGAGGGCCAGTTATCCTGCTCCCGGGGCACCCAGAGCCACATGTGAGCCCACGCCTTGACGAGATACACACTGGTCCCTGGCGGCTCCTCTCTCTCCCAGCAGCAGAGCCCCCTTTCTGGGGCAGCATATGGACTGGATGGGGCACAGGGGGTGGGAAGACTGGACGGGGTCGGGAGAGTGGCTGAGGGGGCAGGCTAATTCCCCACCAATTTAGCTACGTCACTCTCCCATTAACACACACACACACTCTTTATCGTGGAGTGCTGGAGGAGACTTCATCATTGTGCCTCACCTTGGATGGGAGACTGACTGTTGGCCGAGTGGGGGGGGGCAGTTCAGTATGGCTGAAGAAAGGAGGAACAGTGGGGGCCATGGGAAGAAATGAAGGCACTGAAGAGAGTAACTGCCCCCTCGATAGATGGGGGGTGGGATAAATCAAGGGGGCTCACGCCCACTTTCATTGTGGGACAATGATGGGGGGTTAATTGGGGTTCGGAGTGGGGTTCATGCACTGCGGGGGGGGGGGGCGGGGTTTCATGAAAGGCCGTGTAAACGGGGCAGAGGACAGAGCGCTGCCCTGCCGGGGATGGTGAGGGATAGATAGACAGACACAATGCGTCTTTTGGGGGGGGGGGGGTCTTTCCCACAGAACACTGTGTATTTGGAGGGTGGGGGTAAGAATACTCTGTGCTGCACATATTATGACACCGTTTTAAAGACACAGAATCAGAAAAGGCAATTAAATCAGATAAAGGCAATTCAGTATGACTGGTGATGAGGGTTAAGGTTAGGGTTAGACATCACTGAAGGGGGGTGGGGGGCAGGAAGTGAACACATCTGCCCCCATCTGGGACACTGTAATGACAGTTTAACCCTCATGAGATAATAGCATTTTGCTGGGGAAATATAATTATAATTATACCTCATTTCATATGAGGCCTGTCAGCAGCGGCAGCCCTTTGCTGACGTCTGTGGTGAGGTTTGAGTAAACAGTGTAAAGAACAGAGAGGTGATACACACACAGATTAATGCTGAGAATGGGAGACGATGTGGGGACGACACGACAGGAAGAGGCTCTTCCCTGTCAACACTCATTTAAATGCTTTGCGAAGGCAGCAGTGGGCAAGCAGATGTGCAGCTTCTCTCTTGGGGTCACACGGCAGCACGTTGAGAGTATGGATGCCGTTCCACAAAGCCGGCATTTATCAGAAAGGTCTGACATCTCTGGGGAGGAAGCGATCAACGCACACATGCGTCGGTTTAGGAGGCTTGCTACACCACTGTTGCATCCTTTGAAGAAACCGATCTGAGAAAGAGCACATGATTTGAGTTCATGGTGATAAACAGAACAAAGGCCGTTTGGTTCAAATCCCAGGCCATCACTTTCCCAATAGAGTATAACAACTTAATATTTAAAGGGCCAGTGGTGGCCTAGTGGTTAATGAAGTGCACTTATAATTGAAATATTGCTGGTTTGAATCTCTCTGACCAGCAAAGTACCCTGAGCAAGGCACTGCTCCCCTGGTGCGGAATTAGCTGCCCTCTTCTAGGTCACGATGTCACATATGGGTTAAATGCAGAGGACACATCTTGTTGTTACGCACTGTGTGCTGTGGTGTGTCAACAATGATCACTATATAACATTTTAACTAGGTCTGCGGGGGGGCTGGGCTGAGGGTGGGAGAGTGTTGAGTGCCTCCTATGCTAAACACCCCCTCCATCCTCCCCTACCCTACATCTTACCAATACCCACCAGCATCTGCCTAGCTGGTTAATTACAAGAGGACTGATAAGGAAGATTCTGCAGACATCATGTTTTCTAATGACTGCATCTGCTCTTCATGTTACGTCAGATCAGACCTACGGACAAACTCCCTCAGACTCAGGAAGAGCACAACACATTGGCCTAAATGTATTAGCTTAGCTTGTCAAAACCTCTCCTAAAGTCCTAAAATAACCATTCAATATACCCACATGTTTGCTGACTGCTACCGTACCATTGTTTGACTAGTCATTAAATTATTGAGCTACGTTAATTAATTTAAGTGAACAGCCCCTGAGGAGAGGGTTGGGAATTGAAACAGTATTCATCTAGCCATCAGTAACTATTAGAAGAACAGAAGAAATTCTTGTTATTTTTTATTGTTACTGGTCATTTGCATATATATCTATTTTACGAATACAAACTTACTAGACTGATAAATAGACAATTTGAAGGCACTTTCTTTGACTGCCTGAGGCTTCTGCACAATCTTGCGTGTTACATACGTAGCGCCGCCCAGTGGAAGCAGACCGTCGGTTACACTGGCCAGTATCAGCAGACCTGCCTGGCAGTGTGACTGAACGAGATGGATGCACTGTAACCACAGTGAGAGAGGGCCGTGTACCACAGAGCAGGGGCACTGTAGTGCTGTCACACACCTGTCGATGGCATGTCACCCAAACTGCCACCACCTATGGCCCAGCCAGCCAGAGCCTGGCAACAAAAGGGGGCAGAGCAGTGATTTCACACCCAGCAGGCCATCTGCCAGCATTCAGGGACTGTGACAGCCTGATTCTGGTTTAGGTCACGATCATTTTAACAGTCCCCTTGTTTTAGGATCGTGGAGATAACAGTTCATCCATTTATTATCAGGTTCAGTGTCGACTCCTGGTCACCCTAGAGATGGCCGCCTGCAGGAACCTTCTGTCATCAGTTTAGCCATGGTTCTGGAGATTGCTAAGCATGTGAAAAACTCGGGTAAAACAATTTATGTTTTTGTGCTGCTGGTGAAAATGTGCTTCCTTCCTGCTGGCCATGGTCGCCACCAAAATGTCACGGACATAGTTTCTTATTGACCGCCCACCATCAGGGGGCAAAATTAGTCATTACACACAGGAGAGATGTTAGCAATGGGCTTTGAATAGCGCCGAGCCAATCCGCACTGTGTCTGCCACCCCATGACTCATTTCCATTTTGATTGCGCTTCTTCCTCACGTGCCACACAGAGCAATTAGGGACACACAAAGAGCAGTTATCGGGGGGGGAGGGGGGACATTGGAAGAGAAAGGGAAAAGAAAGATGGGGAAGTGCAGAGGCAAAGGGTCAAGCAGAACCATACGAATGAAGAAAAAAACAACAAAAAACAGAAATGTGCGTTTATCATGATAAAAATATACATGGGCTACTGTCTGTAAAAACCTCCTTTTATAATCAGAGCTACAGTTAATTACAGAAATTCAATTAGGCAAATGTAACCCTTCTAATACTTCAGTTATTTTAACGTCAATGTTTTCATTGTTAGATTATCCACATATCTACAGTCTACAAGCCGTTTCCCCTGCTTATCAAAAGTGGGATTCTGCTTGTAGTGCCAGTAATTTTTATTGAAGTTTGAAAGGAATGTGTGGGTGCTGGTGGGAAGAGGAATGGAGAGTGAGGGAGCAGGAGAGACAGAGACATGGAGGGAGAAAAGGGAGGTGATGTGGGGTGACTGTCCACAGTGTCTGGCTTTAATAATTATTATCATATCCATCCATTTTCTGAAACTGCTTGTCCTATTCAGGGTCATGGGGGGGTCCGGAGCCTATGCCAAAGACTATGGGCACAAGGTTGGGCGAATAACCCAGGAGGGGGGCCAGCCCATCACAGGGACACTCACACAGGCACACCTGTGGACAATCTGACAACTCCAGTCAGCCTTTTTGGACAGTGGGGGGAAACTGGAGTAGCCAGAGAAACCCCATGATGACATGGGGAGGACATGCAAACTCCATACACATGGAACCCTGATCCCAAACCCTGGTCCCAAAGGCAACAGTATTAACCACTGCACCACCATGCTGCCACAATTATTATAACATATACATGATATATATTATATACTGTAGCTACATGTTTCAACTGCAGCTGATATTAAGAAGCAAGCAAGGGATGCTCTTTGAATCAGAACAAGCTGCCTCTTTCAATTACACACGCAGTCCTAAGTCATGAGACATGAACTTGAGATCCTATCAGCTGAGTATGTTCCTAGTGCATGGGGCCTCTTACCCAGAATGAGGGACGACCTTGACCTGAACACATCACGTCATAGAGGCCAAGCAGATCTCCAGGATCATGCCCTAGAGCTCTAAATGAAATCGCAGTGTGTGAGCTCTGGGCAGACGGGCTATAGACATTGAACAGAGCCCCCTGATGTTCTTAGGGGTCATGCAGATTAACCATCGTTTATGAGGTCATCCACAGGCTCCTGAGGAGGCATTTCCTTGGCTCCCTCCCCACCGGGAATCTCCTGATCTCCTGACTTATTCTGACAACTAGCACCTGTCTCAGCCGGCAGCGCTTGGCATGTGGAGGCTGGGCACGTGCCAGCAGAGGAGCACTCTGGCACAGGCCCCAGCTAACAGAGCTCCTGTATTGCCCAGCGTTATACTAGAGCAGGAGACCCTCATTTGCTGGGAGATGCTGTGCCTGGAATTTAAAGTGTGTCCCACTGCACGCATTCACTACCACATCATTCATTTGCAAAGATACACATGTAAACACAAATTTAGGGATGTGGCCGGAGCAAAAATGTACAAGGTCCCATGACTGCAGAATTCAGTAACACTTTACCTAAAACCATGTTTTTAGTAATTTATAAACACATTCATAACAAATAATAATGCATTCATGAAGCATTCATGGCATTCAAAAAATCAGGGTTATTCCCATCC